TGATTACCCCCTTTCCGAAGCATCGAACCAAGGCCTCGATTCTCTTAAGGATCTCTGGAATCTGCTGTTTTTATTAGGTTTTGCTATTGTGGCAGCAGCGTCAGTTTTGTAGTTCAACTTGTAGATTTGGAATATTAAAGGACCACGCAGCTGTATATATTTATTATCTACAATTTTTTTTTCTAATATTACTCAAACAATTTTTTCATAGAAAGGCTCCTCTGGATCTCATGGCCTCGTCTATAATAATAATAATAGATTGGCGCTTACACATATATGGGCCGAGCTTCGTCTCTGATTTGAGGCGTGCGCATTGATGATGTCACACAAAGGGGACTCCGAACGGTGATTGTATTTTTATGAGAAGCTATTTTTCATGGCAGAAATACACTCAGAGGTTTGCCATTGCCTGCCGAGGGGCGACCCCTATTAGAAAATACTTTTTGTTTATATTTGTTTGATGTTGGGTTGAACCGGGCTTGAACCCAGACCCCGCGGTGCGGTAGCGTGCACTGCTAGCCTCTACAGCGGCCGCCATCATGGCCTCATCTACTTATATTATAATTTTGTTAATCTTTTTTAGGGCCGTTTTCTCAAGTAGCTTTTAAAATTTATGTCTTGTTCGGAAAAAATCTGTTTGAAGGGCAAATAAATTTTAAAAGCTACTTGAGAAAAAAGACACTTAATCATACATTGAAAATTTACCGAATTAATTATTTCATCTTTTGCTAAAAGTATGCGAGTGTATGTAAGTTTGAAACGGGAGACAACACGGCATTTTGAACTTTTTCGGGTTCAAATACTGCAGTAGCCGAACTTTATTGTTAAAATAAAATCGAAATTTATCGTGGGAAAAGCGCAGTAGTGTAGTGAGTTTCTAATTTTCTCGAAAACCGTAGTAAATCTACTACGATCGTACTAAAGTTCTAACCCTGCCGATAACCTAGATGATTAGGCCAAGACGTGACTAAAACCGGTGCAATAAACAAATTAGCAAAAGATACGCACCCGCCTCTGTGCAGCAAAAAATGTGCGCCCAAATATGCAAGGAAAGCTTAACGTCGAAAAGCTGCAATCACAACAGACAGCCAGCGCTTTCGCTACTCGACTCTCACACCTGCTCTCAGAGAGCACTCTTCAACAAACCGACATATGCGAGCAGTGGAACCACATTTCCCGCTCATTAAGTAACACGGGTATATTTTTCTTTCATACAGAACAATCCAAGAGCATTAAAATCTCACACTTCACTTTTTCATGCATTTTTGGACCACCCTAATGTATATACACATAAGCTTGGTACAAATGTACATATTACATAAATTTAAAATCCCAAACTCGCCTAACGACGATTTCGAAGATACACTTTGAATACATTATCAAATGGGTTTCATTCAGAATTCAAAATTAACTTTTCAAGTTAAAAAACAATAACATATTTAAATAAAAAAATTTTTGTTATCAATTTAGTTTAATGTTCATAAACAAAAAATTATTAATCTGAAATTCTAAAAGTAAAAAAAAACATATCAATTACAATAAGAAAAAATACAAGTTTAAAATATCTACTATGCAAAGCAATAATAATTTCCATGCTAATGTCCTTTTAAATTTGATTTTGCACAACTAACACAATTAATCACATTCATATGTATATCTATGATTGCTTAAAATCTAAATCTAATCATAAATGCATAAATATGTACATGCAATACATTCGCAACTGGGTCAAGTAATATCAAATAATAGCCAAATTGCACAGGTAATCAGTATACAAGTACATACACACATACGTAAATACACCTTTCTTTGTAAATAAATTAAGCTAATTTGACATAAATCAAATAAATATAGACCACACACTCACACATTCGCTGACAGCAGTTTGACACTTGCGACTGTGACAAGTAAATAGTCGTTAGAAATATGAAAATTTAACCTATGCCACCTCGGCCAACATGCCACCGCCCACTTGCACTTCCATAACTAGCCGCCACGCGCCGTTATAAGCTGCAGCCTTGCACCATTCAACGTTCAGGCGACCTACAACCTTTGCTGAGTTCAGTGCTTAGTGCAATAAACTTTTACAAAAATATTCCAAATGCAACGTCAAAGCTGTGGCAAAAAAGCAAGACCACAAGTGCGCAAGGTCGGTAGTCAGCAAAACAAAATAAAATACAGGAATACAAAAGAAAAATATTTTTTCAGTAGTTTGAAAATTTCGTGTGCAACAGATAGAATATAAAATTTTTGTTAAAATTTTTAGTATTTAATTTTGATATAAAAATTGCAATTACAACCAATCTCAAAATTGTGCGCACTCTCGCAAAATGACTTTAATACGCTGCAGTCGTTTAATAATCAGAAGATTCTCTGTGCTTGTCCAACTATAAATATTGTAAGCGTCAATACCAGTCCATTACCTTAGTTTAATGAAGAAGCTTGAAAACAAAAAAAACCAAAATGGAAGATATGCAATTGTGGAAAATTTCTTACTTAATAAGTGTCATAATTTTTTCTCTTGTGCATAAAAAAATATTGATTAGTGCAGAATTTATGATTTGTAATCCAAATCGTATGTAGTGCAATTTCACAACTTGCATGTTGCCAGCTGCTTTGGATATGAATGAGCGCCAAATATATTAAGTGCAAGTTGTCCACTCGATTCAATCAACTAGCGTACCTTTCACCCGCTCATTTATCGCTAGTCAAGGTCAGATTTGTTTGGTGCACTCGGCTGGTTGCAGCCAGATGCACGTGTTTTTGCACCGTCGCTGCAATATGTGTGATTGAACATACTATTATTCGTACTGTTGTGTCAATGCTGCCAGGTTTTTTCACAAAACTGTATTTTCAAACTGTATTTGACAAAAACACTAACCTTAAAAATAAAAGAGATTTTAAAAAATAAGTGTTTTTTTTCAATCTGAAAATATTCTTTTATAATTAATAACCATCAACCGTTTAACTAAATAAAAATAGGCCTTTAAAATGGAACATTTAAATCACATTTAGTTTTATTAAAATCCATTTTTATTATTTTTCGAAAAGTGATTTGTTAGTTTTTTGAGTATTTGATTCGATACCTCCTGAAGCATTTTTCTTAAAGAAATCTGTAGTACTTACATACTTAAAATTCCAGAGAGTGCTGAAATATCTAGTATTTGTTTCATTCAAATCGATTTGAGAAATTTTATATTTATTCGTTCGAATCGGAAATTCCGAAAAAAAAACTGTAATTTGTTCTAGGTGGTAATTTAAACACTGTAAGCTCGTCTAATGTAATTTACAGTTAAAACTGCGAATCTGGCAACATTGATTTGTTTGGACACTCTCTTAATATAGTAATATATATATACGCGCTGCATTAACCTTTGATTGACCAACAACCAACCGTATTCTGAATACTTTGTCAGGTGTATGGCTGCATATAGGGTTACCAGCTCCGCGAATATTTAATTAATGGAAGAGCGATTAGGTCAGAGGTTTTTTTTCGAAACAACGCAAACCAAAACGGTATCTGTGCTGTTTCTCTGATCGTTCTGTTTGAGTTCCGCTCGCTTACTTGCCGTCCCTAAATTGGCACGCCAAGCGCCAAACAACTGTCAAAAATTCTCATGCACGTACAATTTGTATGGAGCATCCCACAATAACGCGGCGCTAGCGCCGAGCATTTAGAATTTTCGTTTTTGACAGGGCGTTACGTGTTGAAGTTGGATGCAGAAGACGGAAAGAAAGAGAAAGCACAAAAGAGTCAAAGAGGAAACGAGATAAAATGAGAAAACGTCAAAAATTACGACGCGTTGATTTGGGGATAGCACGCGCTGACACTCGTTGACAATGGAAAACGCAACGCTTAGCGCTCCATTTTAGGGACGGCAGTTAATGAAAAATTTGTATGTGAAAGCAAAAACAAAGTTAGCAAGCAGCGTCAACTATCCTAAGATTTGAGGTGCCATATTGAGGTTAAAAAAGTGCCAAGAGAAAAATAAAAGTGCCATTCTTTTTATCTTTACCATTTAGCAATAATGTAATACCGCATTCCTAAAACTAAAGTGCAGTACCAAAATAAGACAAATCATTTGCATAAACTTTAGATATTAAAAAATTTTAATTGAGAAAAAGGTGTAGCCACACGCAAAAGATTTCACAAAAACGTATTGAAATAACTAATTAAAAAATTAAGTGCCATTTGAAGTAGAATAGGGTCAAAACTAGTACGGTATGAGCCAAGTTGCCTGGCATGTCGGCGAGTTTGGGAGCACGTCATTAGTTTCGTTCGTTTCGCTACTCGCTAAATGTTTTCTCGCATACCGAGCGGTTTGCAGGCATTTTCTAATTTCGCAAAATTCTTCAATTAGCAACATAGTTTATTTTGGTGGAAAATACAAATTTAGCGGGCAAAGCTCAAACCTTATTTTTTACAAATGAAAAAGTATGCCTGCCGTCAAATGCCCAGTCAACAAAACTCTATCTCGCTTGCGAGAGGAAAAGCAGAACGCAAGCGAGATTTTCAAGCATTTGAAGACGGCCGGTTAGATTTGTAGAGAAAACCGGTCTGTGCGTTGTCATTGCCGTCTACATTGACGTACCTACATACATATGTACATATCGTTAGTATAGTGTGGAAAGGGCGTAACTCACATCGTCGGTGAAATACAAAAAGGCGTAACTAACTAAAAATCCAAAATTCACATTTTGATTAATAATGTTGCATGCCATCGAATTATAAGTCCCCACATCGTTTTATGCAATACAATTTTTTAGTTAGTTGTACCGTTTTTGCACTTCGGCGACGATGTGAGATACGCCCTTACCATACTATACTAACGATATACATATGCTTCAATACTGATGTAGCTCAATATGTATGTGCTCTAATTCATGCATAGTCGGCGACCTACGTTCTTTTCCACATATTCAGACGATAGCGCAATGAGCAGCATTCAAAGAGTCAAAACCATTACGCTCCAGTGTAAGTTTCATAAATTTAGTAGTTTTATTGCCAACGCTTGTGGAAGAACGCACGCGGAATCAGTACCACACAGGCATAGGCATTAAGTATCCAGTTTTTCATGGAAAATGAACTGTGCTACCTGCAAATCGCAAATCTTCCTGTGCATTGGCTGCTTTATGGTGCTAGTAAATACGCCGTCTGTATTAAGCGACAAATCCAGCTGTCAATATGATGTCTTCAAGCCGCTGAAGGCGACCTGTGCAAACGATGTAGCACCAAGTATAACAGTAGTATGAATAATAGGGTATTCATTAAATAAAGTACAACACACGATAACGCCCACAAATTTGCTTAAACATAAAGTTCAAGCGGTTTTTGTCACACAGTAAAAATGTAAGAGGAGTCAACTACCTCCTCCAACTACATTCTTCTATAAAAAAAAAAAAAAACGAAGTCTAGGGAAAATTGTACACTTATTAAATTCTGTCTTTATTTTTAAATTCCAGAGCACTGTGCGCGCAGAACAAAAGGAATTGAATATAACACCCGTTCATAGCGTAAATATTCCTTTTAAGACAGCCACCTTTGGCATGGGATGCTTCTGGGGTGCTGAGTCGCTGTTCGGTGGTACTAAGGGCATTTTGCGCACCACTGTCGGCTATGAGGGCGGCTCCAAGGATTCACCAACGTACCGTAGCCTGTAAGCGTGTTTTTCAAAACTTGAATTTACTGACTTTGTGTTTTTTGTTCTTTTTTCTTTCTTGCTCCTGTTTTCGTTGTACGAATTCATACGCTCATACATATCTATACTATCTTTTTTTCCTCTTAATAAACTGTGATTATTAAAAAAACAAAACCTCACCAAAATCACGCACACTAACTAACTTGCTGCATACATTCATAAAAACGTTTGCTGACTCAACATCCTACTTAACATCCTTTTAACTTTACTTCTTTCCGTTTATTTTGTTCGAAATTCAATGCTTCACATTTACTATTAATTATCTATTTATCATGTTCACTTCTTCCCCACTTTTATTTCTGACTTCTAACTTTCTTAACAAACGCTTTTTGCTTTCCGCTTTCCCTCTCACCCGCTGTTCACCTCTAATACTTACTTATGACGACTCTAAACCTCAAAATAGTGGTAACCACACTGAAGTCCTGGAAATTGACTACGACCCCAATGCCATTTCGTTCAAACAACTGTTGGACCTCTTCTGGAACAA